CATTTTATGTTGTTCTTTTAGATTGGCCAATATGACAGTGTCTAGTTCATTATTCATGTATTATCATTAATTTTTATGGCCAATATCACAGTGTCTCATATATCATTCATTATAAGCTACGGCCAATATGACACTGTCTCATTATGATTAATTATGGCCAATATGACACTGTCTCATTAATATTCATTAAAAGCTATGGCCAATATGACACTGCTCTTTAAATATTTTAATCTATGGCCAATACAACACTGTTTCATTTTAAGTTATGGCCAATACAATACTGTCTTATTAATAATTCAATTCAAGCTAGGGCCATCATGACACTGTCTTATATTTTTATTCACTTTTAGCTATGGCCAATATGACACTGTCTCATAATTATTTGTTATATGCTACGGCCATGAATATTATGCTGTCTCACTAATTATCATTCTTTTTGCCCTTTTTTTCTTTTTTCTTTGTCATCATCACATGCATTTTTATCACCACTGTTATTAGTATTAGCAATTTCTTTATCTGCTATTGATGTAACCACAAGATAATGGTTCATGTTAACAAGGGTTAAGTATTTTGCTGGTGAATTAGGATCAGCATTACGTGTAAGTGGTGAATAACGTACCCATGCATTCCCCTCTTCATTATAGGAGTATATGTACACATTCAGTAAATCAGCCATTGTTAACATTTCGATATCTCCCGCCCACGTGTAATTCTTATCCATACCTTCCAGAGCATTATATTCTTTTACTGAATTATAGGGAGTCAGCCAACTACGTAGCCCATTTTCCATTGTAGGCATGTGTCTAATAATGGCCGATCTGATGAAATTTTGCTGAATATAAGAACCTGTAATGGCATGAGACAGAGCATTAAATAAACAATTACCATCACCAGGTACATTAGTAGATCCTTTGGGTACAGTTAATTCTGTGGTTGGGCTACCCAACTTTGGTCTGTATGATTTAACAAATCCCAAGTTTAGGGCATTACACCATGCTTTTTGAGTAGCAGCATTGGGGGGATGGTATTTTAAATTACTAGCTCTTGTACTCATTCCCGTCATCACACGGTCATTACTATCATCATTATTATTATTAGTGATAACAGTAGGTGGTTTTTTGGGGCAATTAGCTTTATCGTTGTTCTTACTGTCTGATGGCCTACTTCTCTTATCACGAGCTACCTTTGGTGGTGGCATATTTTTTTGATTTTTTGCTTGTGGCTCATCAATAGTTCCAGTAAGTGTACGCTTTCTACTGCCACAATCTGTAGGAATGGCATATTGTGGGAGGTCTGGCCTGTACAATTGTCTCAACCTGTTTATTTCTTTTATGCTACAAGAGGAAACCATCAATGATTTGGGGTTGAAACATGTCAAATGGACACCAGACAGTGTCCGTACTCGTGATAGAGCAACGTAAGCCATTCCTGCACTAAATACGTTTTCAAACAGATCAATGATTGCATTATCTAGTGACAGTCCTTGGCATTGTGTATGGTAACAGCAAAAGCTAATATCAAAGGAAACTGGCTTCTATACACAAAGACATTTTTTATTACCATAAACCTTATCTTGACTTTCTCAATCTCACAAGGATCAGTTATTCTATCAAATTTAACTGTTATGCGTGTTTCTGAAATGGCCTGCACTGTACCAAGTGCTCCATTCACTAATCCTTTTTCAACATTTACATTGCAACGCAACATTACTCTAGCCCCCACAGCCAATTTTAATTTGGCTTCCAAACCACCAGTATTGTTAATATCTTAATTTAATTCCTTCAACTTTTTCTCAACCTTTTTTTCTAAATCATCATCTTTCTTTCTACTTACATGTATGTTGCCAGTACCATCAAATAAATTTGTGGCTCTTATTTTCACGGTTGGACTTGGTAGATTAGCCAGCATTGTTTCATTAAATTCTTTGCACATGTCTACTTTTGGAAACAGGCAAACTGGGGCGTTACCACGCTGTTGTAATATTTTAAATTTTTTCACAATGGGCATCAAAAATACCCTTTCGGAAAGTGTAGCGAGAGTCTCATTGTCTGGAAAGCCACGTCTCACTTTGTCCAACATTTCCAAAAATTTCTTGTCTGTTTTTTGTCTTTCATTTATTGTCAATTCGTCATAGGTGACAGTATCACGCCATATGTTCACTGCACCCATACTACCAAGTCTGTATTTCAGTGTTGATGCTGTTACTTTGTCAAACACTGGTTGTCCACGAACTGGTTGCAATTGAAGGATGTCACCAACAAAGAGGACATTCTTGCCACCAAACCATTCGTCTGATTCGAATAAGTCATTCATTCTCATGTGTATGTAAGTGAGATTGAGGCTAGAAACCATGGACACTTCATCAATGATTACCATTTTCAGATCCTGAAGTTCTGTTTTCATTACTTCGTGACTAGCCTTTGGTATGGACCAGTATGAGGCACATTGTCCATCGTGTTCTATTGGCAGCTGAAACAGTCTGTGTGCTGTCACACCTCCCACATTGTAAGCTGCCAATCCTGTTGGAGCACAAACTGCACATGTCTG